TTAAAAGTACAATCAATTAAATGAATGAATGTCATGTATTCATACCAATGGATCCAATTGAGATACTGACATCAGGTTCTTGTAATTTCAGTGTAATATTATCCATTGTCATTACCAATTCACTACCAACATTCCTTTCCTCCTTTACTGATTCGATAAAGATAGTAAATGTACATAAGTACATACCTGTGGACTATCAGTTCTAATTGCATCAAATATTCCACCAACAATACCTAAAGCTGTCTTTAACATAACATAACAATATAAAGTCAAACACAGTGCTGCTATTCTAAATTGCTTACCCCTGTCTGGGCTTTCGTAAAGTTTTGTAAAAAATTTGATATTATATTCAGAAGAACAGCTGCTTCATTAACACTAATATTACTCAATGTACCATTTAATGAGTTAAGAGCACCTGCAGGATTATTCATAGCCTATGAGAATATTAACTGACACTTAATTATATTATGCCCACAGTTTTTGGGCTAATAGCAGAGGACAACAGAATTAAAAAATTAAATTTTTTGAAGCAAGGTTTTATCAAAATGCCCATAACTTTTATGTATCTTAATTTTGTCATTGTCTTACTTCATTAGATATTCTATCAAAGGATTCGGAAGAACTACAATTGATCATCATACCCCATGTACCATCATCTCTGCAATGTCTTGTAGCTAATAAAGCAAGCAAAGTATTGAATGTAGTTATTATATTAGACATACCATTAAATATTCCTTTTTTACATGTTCCTCTAGCAATCTCTCCAGCCTGTGTCTCAGGCCATACATCAATAGGTGTACATGATGGCTTAGGAGAACTACTGGAAATACTGATTGGAGTAATAGAAGTACTAGTTGAAGTAGAACTACTGATTGGAGTAGAAGTAGCTGTTGAAGTAGAAGTAGCTGTTGAAGTAAAAGTAGCTGTTGAAGTAGAAGTAGCTGTTGAAGTAGAAGTAGCTGTTGAAGTAAAAGTAGCTGTTGAAGTAGAAGTAGCTGTTGAAGTAAAAGTAGCTGTTGAAGTTGAAGTAGCTGTTGAAGTAAAAGTAGCTGTTGAAGTAGAAGTAGCTGTTGAAGTAGAAGTAGCTGTTGAAGTAGAAGTAGCTGTTGAAGTAAAAGCAGCTGTTGAAGTTGAAGTAGCTGTTGAAGTAGAAGTAGCTGTTGAAGTAGAAGTAGCTGTTGAAGTAAAAGCAGCTGTTGAAGTTGAAGTAGCTGTTGAAGTGGAAGTACTGATTGGAGTAGAAGTACTGATTGAAGTAGAAGTGCTGATTAGAGTAGAAGTGCTGATTGAAGTAATAGGAACACTGGTTAGAATAGACAGATCAGGAGGGTCAGTAACAGGAGTACTGGTTGGAATAAAAGGTTCGGAAGTATCAATAGTAGAAATATGCACAATAGAAGTGCTTGAAGGATCACAACCATTAGGTGAGGTAGTCATTTCACTAGATATACAAGTGATACTATCATGAGCAACATTAGGTGAAGATGAAACTGGGTTAATCGGAATAGTGAAGTTTGGACATGTAGCATCATTACAACCTTTTCTTTTAAAACATAAACTAGCAGCACGAGGAGAAGAACCATCCCCACCTTTCATTGATATCCAATTATTATCACCATTTGGCTTGCCATTACTGTAGCAATGAAGTTGTTGTTCATTAATAAAAGTATTATTATTCCTTCTCAATGCTACAGTCCAATGTTCCCCATTAGGTATATAGTGGTACTGTGTCCATACTAATAAAAATCCTTCAATAGTGTCATTAATATCAATCTCAATAAAAGTCACATCATCATGAGATCTAGGAGAATAAATAGAAATATTGTTCAGAGATAAATCCCCAGTAGTAGCTGATGTCCAATTATTGCTACCAACTGGTGCATAGTAAGCTAAATGACGTGTTTCATTTTGATCAGTAATCATAGAGAGGAGGACAGGATTGGGAGCAGAATTAACAGGAAGGGGTCGAACACATCCATCCATTTTAAGGTTAAATCTAATTGTACTATTACCAAGACATTCAATCATACATAAGATTAAACCATTTTTACTTGTTTCCAGCACTAGATTGGGTCGGTAAAATTATATCATTGCCCCATATTTCCCCCATAGGTACACTCATGTTCTCATTATTGATCAGCATTGAGCAATTTGAATCAGCAGGACTAAGTCTATCAAAATCAGGTCCTACCTTGATGATTCTTGTAGGAAATGAAGAATTTGGACAAAGTTCATTTGTGTCACAAAAAAAGTTTTTGTAGGGGTAGAACCTAGAATAAAAATGCAATGATATTATAGATTCAATTGTCTAATTGTAATACTTTGTTTCATTTTTGTAGTCAAATCTAACACTCCTACTAGCATTGATACAGCAATCAGTAACAGAGATATCATCAGATTGAATCTGAAGCTGATACTGAACTGTACTGTTAATG